GCCTTTCAGTGGGAGCAGGGTGCCTAACTCTTCTTGGAAATCTCAGCCTTAGTTTTTCATAGCAAGATGTGAGGTGCGTGAAGTGTCCGTAGGGTCTATCTGAGAGGTGACAAATTAGATGCTAATGTTCTGCATGTTGCCAGGCTTTTGCAACAAAGATTTTACACCTGTGACCCCGAGATGTAACATCCAGACTGAGTCAAAGCACTGGCCTGTGATGTAGGTGAGAAAGCATAGCAACGTTTGAGAAAGCCCCTAGGCAGCTCCCCAGACAAGCCCCATGGACCTCCTGTTTCACCTTGTACGTTTCAGCTCAGCAATAATCAACTCTTCTACATAGCCCAACTTCAGTATCAGCAGGAAGAGGAGCTGGAGTGGTTCATATTTGCTTTGAACATTTTGGGAAATGCTCTTCCCACTACATACACACACAAGATGCTCACGTCATCCGCCCCTTGCAGCTGAAAACACACACTTTAAAAATTATACAAAACAAAGTTAGTTTTATTCAGCCATCTACTTACAAAACAAATGGAGTGGGGGGAAAAACAACTCCACAGAGATGTGTGAAGCTACAGTAGAATACTGACCAGGGACTTAATTGCATCCTGGGTACACCAGTAGTTCAACAATGATTGGACATTGATCTAATGGTTACATCCCGTTTCAAATACTTTCTTTCAATTATACAAGTAGAATTAGCTTAAATGACTGAAAGGAGGAAGCAGTTTGCAGTGGTCTCAGGCTATGAGAGAACACCCACTTGGGAGCCAGAGAGTCCTTAATTCTAATCCTGGCGCTGACACTGCCTCCAACTATAGCCTTGGGCAAGTCACTGCACTGCTGCCTCATTTTCCCTTGCACTTCAATGGGAATAGTATTTATGTCTGTGGCAGCGGTGTTCTGGGGAGTCCAGGTAGTTTTAGCTCTCCCATCTCAGTAGTTTCTGAGCACAAGGATTCAAGTTTGCAGAGCACCTTGAGGGTGAAGAGTGTTATATACAAGTACTGAGGAGGTTATTATTCTTGTAAACTACAGCAGAAGTTATTTTAGTGCCACCCCAGAAGAGGAAGAGGCTGAGAATACTGATATAGGAAGCACCCCAATGTTGGTTAACTTGAGTCTTAGGAAGAAATAAATACTAAAAAAACCCACCCCAAACCTTGACCCAAATTTCCTATTCAGAACCAGAATACACTAGATTCCTGCACAGCGCAACAACATGTTCCCAACCCGGGATTCACATGGAAACAAACTCCATGCTCCTAATGGTCTCTACATGTAGCCATCATGTGGTAACATCAGACAAATCCTAGCTCAAAGTTGCTACTGCAGTCAATTTCCTGTTGGCCTATTACTTCTACCATACCCCTATGGGAACACTTTCACGGGCATGGCTCAAGAGGTGAAGAAGACATTGCTGATATCCAGTGAACGGCAGCAGCTGACCTGCAAACACAGCTACAGTATGCTATTCCAGCAGTGGGAGAAAGTTGGCCCAATTCAGCAGCTGGGAAGACTCCAGCAGCTCAGCACCACTGGTTTGAGTGTGCTCAGCGGGCACGGCATCCACTTCAGGAGTGCTCCATTGGGCCTGCCCCGTGCCCGTTCACGTGAGGGTGCGATGGGGTTGAGCTCTGAGGGGCTGTAGTGCTCTGCTCTGCCGTGGCAGCTGCCAGAGGCATGGAGAGGCCTTCGGGGGAAAGCACGGCAGGGTCTTCTCTCCAGTAGGCTTCGCACAGAGGAAGATCATTGGTGTCACATAGACTGTAGCTTTCCAGAACAAGCCACACCAGTAAGGAGAGACAGGAGGTGCAATCAGAGAGCGGAGGGGGGGAAAAAAAAGAGGCGGGGAGAAAAAGCAAGACAGAAGCAAAGTGTTAAGAAAATGGCAAAAGCATCCGTGGACATAATAACAATGAGGAGTCCGGTGACGCCTTAAAGACTAACATATTCATTTGGGCATAAGCTTTCGTGGGTGAAAATCCCCACTTCTTCAGATGAATTTTTTACCCACGAAAGCTTATGCCCAAATAAATCTGTTAGTCTTTAAGGTGCCATCGGACTCCTCGTTGTTTTTGTGGATACAGACTAAAACGGCTACCCCCTGATACATGGACATCATGTTTGTGGATCATAATTTTATCACGAGTCTCATGACACTGACGTTCCCTAACAGGACTCAGGCTGGTGTGTGATCTCACTGCCCTGGGAAGGGTCAGGAGTCCTTTCATTGAAGTCAGTGGGGTTACTCCAGTCTGAAACTGGCGTGTGCTCCCACTCTAATTCCCATTCAAGTCAAAGGAAAGACACCTGAGGCAAAATCCCAGCCTCCTTAAAGTCAATGGCAAAACTCCCATTCACGTAAGCGGGGCCAGGGTTTCATCCCTAACAATTTCACTGAGAGTTGGATCAGGAACCAACCAAGAGGAGAATCAGACCCTTCGGCCCTAATTTCATTAGTGATTTTGGGTGCCCAACTTAAGACATCTGATCCTGAGTTTTTAGAAAAGCAGAGTGTGCTCACAACTCCAGGTGCTTGGAGCTGTGAATACTCTACACCTCTCAAACCCAGGTCTAAAAGTTTTTAAAAGTTTGGGCTGTAAGTGTTTAGAATCAGGGTTATTCTTGATCTACCATGGGGCAAAAAACAACCAACCTCCCCCCACCCCACCAAAAAATGTACTTTAAGTTCTTTCAAGGAGCATTACTAGATTGTCACTGAATTGTTTGAAGGTCTGTATTTGTAAGATCATCACTCCATTCTTTTTGTTAAGAACCAAAAAACCCCAAAGTCTCTATCCCCTTCTCCCCTACTCTAGTGTTATGACTAATAGCTACAAAAGTTATGTGCTAAGAAAAGGACAATTGAGTCTCATGCTGCAGGATCACTGTAGGGGTCAGGAAACCTCCCCTCCCCCATCTCCAGCATTACAAGATTGGCAAAGATTTATGGGAGATTTATGCCTTCTCCTGCAGCATCTTTGGCCAGACTTTCAAAGGTGTTGATCACCTGCAGCTCCCATTAACTTCAACAGGAATTGTGTGTGCTCACCTCCTCTGAAAAAGCAGGCGACAGTGGTTGACCACTGCAGGGTATAAGATTAGGTGGACCAGTAAGGTGAACAGTTATGGCAAATCCTGTGTTCCTAAGTCAGTGGTTATCTCTTGTCCCTTTGTTGCCCTAACTCCTGCTCTGAAGTTTGAGGCGGATGCACAGTGGCAGGGCTATAAACCAAAATAAAAATAGAGGAAAAAATGCTGAAAGAGAGGAAGGAGCTGCCCATGCAAGAGACACCCAGAGACCGAAGTGAGTGCTGGAACAGGAAGTAGCTTGTGTTCAAAATAAATAAAACAGAACCAAGAAAACCACTGGACCCCTTGGGTTTGTTTTACCATTAATAGACTCAAATAGAGATTTTTGGGAAATATTTTAAGAGCAAAATATATATATATATATATATAAGACTAAACACTTTGAACTGAAGAGCTGTGTCTAACAGGTTGAACTCCAAACCCACCCTCCAGTCATCAAGCCATGCTCTCAAAGAGACGGGAATGGTGGACCAGGAATTCAGAGCTCCAGCCACAAGTGGCTGGAGAAGGCAAGCTGGAGTGCATGGAGCTACATCTTCGGGGAATAAGCACATGAGGAGGTCACTGATTTTAGACACTTGGTTTTTGGCGGTTACAGAGAATTCACTCAATGCCAAGTCATCTCTTTCCCAGCAGTTGCCCCGCTGGGCTTGCTAGAGAAGAGGGGTGGGGGCTTAGCATCTGGAGCTTTTGCACTATTACCAAGTGAGGTCCCTTCATTGGGGTATGAAGGCTTAGCATCACATCCTGCAGTGACTATGCAAAACAAAGCTGCCACTGAGGTATGCATGAAGGACTGCAGGACTGGGGCCTAACTAGTCCTGAATCCACCAACCATTTCTCTCCCTTACTCCTGGATCTCAGCCCCTCAGGACCGGATCCCAGAGCACTAGGGTCTGGTGTCCAGCACACCTCACACTGGAGGACTACTAAGAACTCTTCAGCCTAGCATCCGGGTAGAATGCAGCTCTGGAAAGGAAGTGGGCATCTCTCCTTCTTCTCCCTCCCTGACCCCCCCCTTCCCTCCAAATTATAGAGACCTCAAAATTTACACTACAGTTCTCCAGTCAGTAACCCAAAGTTCATAGTTGCTATGGGGCTCTGCAAGGCACCATCCAGCCTCCCAGTGGAGAGAACCCTGAGGCTTGGCTGGATGTGAACCCAAAGGAGATGTTAAATGCTCTCCCAGGGCACACTATTGGGACTGTGTGGGAAGGCACCTGCCTAGAACACAAAAGCACATGAGTTGCTTTGAAAGATTCTTGGCTCGCAAGTTTCCTCATGAAGTCAATATTTACTAGCAAAAACCCTACGGACACGCAGTATTTACCAGTATATGGGGCAAGAGTGTCTCCCAAACCCCTGCTACCGTGATGGGAGTGAGAACATGCCCTTCCAGGTGACACCTACCCAAAAGCACAGAGTCTAATTCTATAGTCCTCTCACAGACAAGCAGTAAAGTCAACAGGAGTTTTGTCTGCACAAGGACTTTTGGGCCCTAGCAATACATAGGGACCAGCCGGAGGCTAACAGACTGGGTGCAGAGAACGCAGTGCTCTGCAGCTTCACCCAAAGGGATGCCAGGAAACAACAGTGTTTCAAGTGTTAAACTCTAAAGCTCTAACTATTGGGGATGGTGAAAATCCACCAATGGAAACCAGAGATTGAGAGAGCAATTTGGAATGGTGGTTGTGTGGAATCCTACTGTCCTGCTCCCACTGAAGTCAACTGCAAAGCTCCCATCAATTTAAGTGAGAGCAGGATCAGGCCACTATAGCACAAAATGATATGCTTGATCCTAGGCGGCACAAGGAGCTGACAGCAACTGACCCCCAGCTGAGCTCTCAGAATGAGTTTCATGTCGCCCTCTCCAGGTACACACTGAGTCTTTACAGCCGTTTAAACACAATTAACATCCTACAGCCATGTGTGCTTTAATACAAAATAGAAACCCCTTTCTCCACATCAGACAGTAAAATTCTGTTAAAAAAAATCCTTATGACCATTTATAAAAGTACTTTGAATAAGCCACTTGTTGTTTCTATTTAAACACTCACATGTTTCTTTGGTGCAGAAATAAAGATTGGTTAAAACCTGTAGCCGATGGCACATGAAGGAAAAGGAAATAAGTGCTCAAGGACCAGTGGATAAAACACTAGGTGCAGCTACAGGACATGAGGCGTCATTAAAGAGAGCATAGCTCTATATTCTAGGCAAGATTTCTCACCAAACGAGCACTTCATATTAGAAACAGAAGAATGGATTGATTTGGTACAACGGGGGGAGGGAAGGGACAACCTCCCCTCCCCCCCACTCCTGCTTAGACAGTAGTTTTGCTAGGAATGATTGCTTAGTGCAGTTTCAGAGCTAGGTAGATAAAAGACCACACTAGCATGGTCAGAACCCATTGGTCCAAAGATTAAAATAACCATTTTAGAACCACAAGTGTACATGCCAGAGTGTCTGGTTACAATACCACAAACACACATCACAGGCTCACATTTGGGTCACCATAACTGCACACACCCCTGTTAGACAACATCGACTGCTTTGCTGTCCAATCAAGTTATGAAATAATAAAGTCCTGACCCCAGTTAAGACCAGAATTTTTGCTTAGATCAGTCAGCATTGTGTAACCCTACTCAACTTCCTTTCCACTCATCTCCAAAATATTTAGTGGGCCTCTCACTGTCCTAAGACATCTTTTTATAATTGTTGCTCTCCTTTTCGCAGCTATGAAAGGTAAATTTTCTTAAAATAATGCATCAATTTTAAAGGGACACTGTTGGGCTAACTTTTATTTCTAAAATACCTGCATTACCAGTAAATGATGGCCTGATTTTCTAAATTCCAGTTGAATTGAGCATCTGTAGCTACCACTAAACATTTTAGGGAATTAAAAAATAATAAAATTAAAAAAAAAATCATCTTATCAAAGCTTATTAAAAGTGAAAGAAGTTTAAAGAGCTAGTTTGCTTTTTACCATTTATGCTGTTGATTAATTTGTCTATGGTGTTTAGATGTGGCTTGTAATTATTAGAATTTGTTGCATTTCACTGACCTTGGACAGTGCAACCAAACCAGTCCCTTTCAGATCGGATTCTGGTCACTTTCATTTACTGGACCTCATTAACTAGTGATGTTGGGGGTTGCAACAATATTAGGAGGGAAAAAAAGTTGTATCCACCAGAACCTATGTTCTATTGAAAGTCTTTAAAAAGATTTCACAAAAGATACATTAGTGGTAAGTTTTTACAAAAAACCACCAACCCTCTCACCCTGCTAGAGATAGAAAAATGTCGATTCTAAGCTACTTGATGATGTCCCTTTAGTTCATTTTAAACAGATTTCAGACAGTTGGTGGGGGTGAGCTACAAGGAATAGGCATGTTATGTAGTTTAAGACACTTGTGAAAGAGCACACAAAGAGGCTCTGCCCCATATCAGCCTGACTGCTTAGCATCTCGATAGCTTGTTTTAGGTTGCAGAAGACAAGTTTGATCTAATTAAAAACAGGTGTGAATTTTAAGGGGAAATATCCATTTAGGCTTGTGTCTTAAGGACAATCTGCTCTCCTATCCTGTTTCTCAGAAAGGGCTGGAGACAAGAGGAGGCTTGTTAGTACATGGGAGTCCATGGCCCTATTTGTACCTGGAAGAGTAATATTCTTCTTCTAGTTCATACAGGTCAATGGAAATCTCATCCCTCAGCGAGATCAGCTTCTTGTCACACTCTTCCTGCACGCTCCGCAGCTGCTGGTTACGCTGGTTAATGGCTTCGTTCACGGAGGGGAAGTCATTGAGAATCAAGAACTGCTTCAGGTCAGACACAAGCTTCATCAGGGATTCGCCAGCTCGGACCTTGCAAGGTAGATAAAATATTAAGCAAACGGACACAAAGTGACTTTGGGGTCCTTTACCATGGCTCTGCAACATGGTCTGCTGGGCTGCTCCCTCAGCCCCCTGATACCAGACTTTGCAACATGGGAGCAACTTTGCTAAAATGCTAGCCAAAAGCCTGCAGTACCAGAGAAGAATGCATTAGCACAATACAGTTGTCCATGCACACCCTGGGTACTGTGCAGCCTTCTGGCACTCTATGCACAAACAATGATGTTCTTTTGTTTCACAGGCAAGCACAGCCTTCAGTAGTATAAACCCAGAACTGTATGTTTTGTCACCAACCAAAGGCAAAAGAAGGTATTAACATTGCAAGCCAGGAGTAGGATTTTAGTCAGGGGCCTCACCAGTTAAAACTGGGCAGCTCTAAAAGTGAAAGTTGGTAGCTTTGGGTTGGGACCGAAAGAGAAATCCAGAGGAAACAGAAAAATCACTCCCTTCCTTTGCACTGGGAAAGCCACCCAGTGAGGATTACACCTCTGGCAGTAATTGACATTAGTATTCTGAGTGCTCCTCATGGACGCTGTAACAGAGCACAGAACACACAAGATCCGCTAGGCAGCACGCCGGCTTGGCACACAAGCTGTACTTACTATATTGGCAGCTCTGACGTGCATCTCATAGTTGTCCTGCTCACTCTGGGTTGCTCGAGAGACTTGGGTTTCATCTTCAATCTAAAAATCAATTTAAAAAAAGCCATGTGTCTTCAGCTCACCCAATATTCCTGCATCCCAGAAGAGGTTATTACTTAAAAGAATATCTTGTTTCAGTTCAAACCACATATAAAAGGGGCTTATGTCCCTGATCCCATCTAGCAGATGCTTTTGGTAGGATCAGAGTTAAGAGTGCACCATTTGTTGAGCTCCCATCTCTTCCCTCATGTTAATCAATTGCTGTGCAGAACAATGTTCGCCTCTCTGTTTTCCTTGGACTGTCTTCTTGGATTCTTCCCACCATTGATTTTCCAGCACTTCCAGCTTGTTTGATTGGACTGTTTGTTTGAAAACTGAGTAGCATAATTTGCAGCTGTTCACTAGTAACCTGCTAAAAAGAACTGTTGAAAACTCAGGAGGCCAAATTTGGCATCAACCTCCCCTCACCCCTTGCAAAGCTATTAAAGCCTCATTGAAGAATAAGGCTAAGCTTGGTGTAGATGCAGAATAGATGCATAAATGCAGAATTTGACTCCAGGAAGTGAAAGCTTCAGCTGCTGAATCTCTATGAGCCACCTACATCTCACTGGTTAATTTTCAAATGCAGCCTTTTCCTGTGAGCTGGATTGGTATTTCTAGCCTTCAGATCAGTGTAACGATCATTCTGAACAAAATTATTGGATCTATGTTTATATTTCAACCCATGTTACCTTAGGATCTAGTCCTACAAATGCATAATTAGGATGCAGATAGTCCCACTGACTGGAAGATCAGGGCCTAAATTATAATCTTCCATTTTTATGGTGCCTTTCATCCAAAGGGATCCCAAAGCACCTCAAAAAATTATAGACAAGGATCACTTTTCCCCAGCACTCAAACTGAGCCACCTCTGCTCTAGATTTCAGTGAGAGAGCTAATTAGTCTCTATTAGTTCGTTAGAAAACAAGGAGTCAGATCAGAAGTTTGCTGATTATCTACAGCTATTTTCAGGATGAACAGATCTATTCTTTTGTTTAGTGCTGTCAGAAAATCCCCATCTGCAATGTGTTGCCTTTTCCAGAGTAGCTAATTGGCCTTTGCCTCACCCACAGGTGTTTTACATGAGGAAGCTGGTGTAAGAAGGTGGGGACTATTCTAGTTGGTCACAGGCCCGAGGATTGTTCTATATATTATAGGCTGGGAGAGTGGTTAACAAGTCTAAGTAAAAAGGAGGAAGAAATATAGATACACTGATTTTGTAGGGACAAAGCAAGTTGACCAAGATTTAGGGACCCCACAACTGTGAAGGTGCTCCAAGCTGAAGGTTATTAGGAGTCATCTCCAGGATGTATACATCTGGGGTAAGAGTGTTTTGATATATAGTTGTTAAATGTGATGTTAGTAGAGGAAATTTGTTCCTTTAAGTAGTACAGAAAACTGACTCTTCTCAGATAGCTTGCCTAAAATCTAACTATGGAAAGGGAGAGAATGTTTTAAAAAATCCATCTTTACATAAGACTTAACACTTTTGTGTCTGTTATGTACAGACACTTGTTCCCTTGTCTAGGATTAGAGGGTTCTTCTAACTAATGGAAATAAAACTTGAATGGGCTCTGGGATAGACTTCTATACCCATGCCTTGCTCTGACTGCTACTAAATAGGTATTGACTTCATTGACCTTCTTTCAAATCACCTTAGCAGTCTTGATGATCTCTGTGAAGTTATCCATGATTGACTTGATGTCATCTTTCAGCCTCTTGTTGTAGGACTGTAGGAGGGTCTCTTTACTTTGAGGCAGGACTCGTTGTTGTGACATTGTGTTAAATTAGATTGTAACTGAAAGGCAGGAAGAGAGAGCCTGTTACAAGCCAGCCCAACATTACACCAGCATATCTAAATACTTCCTGTGAAACTCCTAAATTTACTAGGAGTCAAAACCCCACTAAGCCCATCTCTTCTCCCTACCCTAACCAGTAAGGGCTGCAATTCTACTCCCACTGACCAACAAGAGCAGGACTGAGCCACTCTGCAGTCTTAAATCTACACAACAATTTAAACAAAAGATCCGCCTAGGCGAATAGTTACTGTCAGGGGCCGCAGGGAGACGTTATAGGGGTCCACCACAGCTATTTCCAGGCAGCATCCTCGGCAAACCAGCTCCCTGGGGACGGGAAAGAAGGTCCCCCTAGCCAAGCCCTCGGCTACCTAGTAGCCTCCCTGATTGCTGGAGTGAGCGTTCGCCCTACAGGCAGGGCTGTGCATGAACTTGCAGCCCTCTAGCAGGGATCCATCCATCGGCACCCTCCCTCGAAACAGCCACGGCCGGCAGTGCGTGCTGCAGGCTCTGCTTCACTCACCCAGCGAGCGACGCAGGGCATTGCCCGCTCCTGGGCGCCACCTGCCCCGAGCACGGCTGCTCTCAGCCCGGGCTTCGCGGCGAGCAAGCCCCGCTGGCCATCAGCACGCCCGCCTCCCCTAGATTGGCCGCCTCTTCGCCGGTGGTTGGCTGCTGCAGACGCCAGTCCTTTGCCCCGGCTTAGGACCTGTTTCAAGTAGAGTTGAGCGAGCACATTTTTTAAAGCCGCAGTAGGGGTGTGGGTGTCTGTCTGTCTATCTATCTCCCCGTCCCTGACTTGCGGCTTGGTCAGACACTAGAATGTCTGCAGTCCCTGCTCTTTAAAAAGGCACCCCTCACATGCTTTAAGGACGTGCATGCAAGGGGGAAGCTGCAGAATTGCTCCAAACCACACACACTTAAGCAGCCTTGAAAGCATCGGCCTATAGCATTTAAGCTGGGCTGTCTGAAGGGTCCGGCAGATATCCCTCCATTTGTCATTTCTCGAAGAATTTCTAGCCAGAAGAGCTAGTGAGACTTTATTTATTATTATTAAAGCTTGTCTTGAGCACAAGACAGAGCCACCGACAAAAAGTACCAGCTCCTGTCTTAGCATAAACAGGCCCCATTCCAAAGTAAATGCATGGCCCAACTCTAGTTGAGCAGGGGTGGGGGAAACTGGTGCAAAACTTTTTTAAGCTTTCCATTCGTGTTTGGTTCATGCTGTGGAATGTAATGCATTAATAGCAACGTCCCCATTCACTTCCAACAGACAAGGAACAACACAGAGTGACCACTTGCCCCTTATTTTAAGGGACCTCGCCTGACCATTTTAAATAGTAAACTGAGTAGAAGAAATACACCTTTGAGAGAAAAATACCTGTTTTGCTCAGGGAAACAGGGTTTCTCTAAAATGCCCCTAATTAAATAGACCATGGTTCTTTATTTGCATCCAATATAGGGGTCACCACAAGAACATCTCCTGAGTCCAGTCTCTACGTCCACAAGCTCCGTCCTTTGTTCGTTTCAGCTTCACCACCCCCTAGGTTAGGGGGGCACGAGAGGGTAATGTTGGCAACTTCCCCTTTAAGAGGAAATAGACCACGGCCCCTTTAAATCCTCTCCGGCTTGCTTGCTCCCTGCCTCTCTCGAGCGTTGCCTCGCTCTCGCGGGATTTCCAGCTCCATACATATATTACCCAGTATGCCCCGCTCTCTCTTTTTCCACCTCAATCCAAAATGGTGAGTGTCGGCGGTTGCTGCTGGGCCCGGGGGGGGGGAGCGGGAATCCGCCGCCATCCGCCCCTTCGTCGGGGCCGTAGCCGGGCGCTACCGGGCGGGGCGGACGCGCGGCCCCCGAGAGGGGCCCGGCCGGGCTGTCTTTCGAGGTCTGCGGGAGTCGGGGCCGGCCGGGGCCTCCGCCGCCTGCAGCAGGGCCCCGGGGGGCTGAGGGTAGCCCGTGAGGAGCCGCGTCTCTGGGCTCTCGGGCGCCTTTCCCAGAGATGGGTTGGGGCCCCGGGGACAAGGGCAGGCCGGTGCCTCTGGTGTCGGGCCGGGGGGACTCGCACCCGCAGAGGAGACTCCCGGCCCGGGGGGCGTGTTTCCTCTCCCGGCCCTTGCGCGGACTTTTTTTCCCCCCTCGGGCTGAGGTTCAAGCCGCCCCCAACCAGCAAAGGGCCTTCGCACCACCTGGTATGCCGCGGCTCAAATGCGGCAGACCCAAGCGATTGGGACCCGCGTCCAAACCAAACCCCTGGGTCTGCCTGCTGAATAGTCTCCTCGCGGAGCAGATAATCATTTCTGGTTTCAGTACTGCAGGACGGTGTGAGGAGCCAGTTCCTCTCTACTGGGGGCGGGGGAGAGGGGGCTCTTGCTCCCATCGCAAAGCAACAACACCACCATTTGGAGGAGACTAGGTGCAGCTCTCTGCTGGGACATTGCTGTGCACTGGGCGGAGTTTCTCTGTGACTAAGGGCGTTTGAGTGAGATGAAAAATGGCTCATTGATCTGCACAAGCAAAATCTCTTACAAGAGGCTCTTTAAAAGAGCCTCAGTAATCAAGAGGAGGGGGTTGAGGCATCATGGCTCCCCCTGCAAGGGCAGGGTCTAGACCTGCACACTAATATGCTCCATTTTTAACAAACATAAGCCTCTCCAAGCGGGCATGGCTTGAATGGAGGGAATTTAGCATTTCTTTCATTTGCAGCCAAAAGGAAAGAAGGCTAAGGGCAAGAAGGTGGCACCTGCCCCTGCTGTAGTCAAGAAGCAGGAGGCCAAGAAGGTTGTAAATCCTCTCTTTGAGAAGAGGCCCAAGAACTTTGGCATTGGTGAGTAAATGGGCATTTGGGGTGCTTTGGACTGTTTCAGCTGCTGTTCAAGAGATAATGCTCTGAATAGGTAATGGTGTTTGTCTCAGGCATAACCAACATTTTTGTAACATATTTGATTAAAGTTGTAGTGTGGACTTCCTCTACCCCTGCAACTGATAGTGAAGTTAACTGTTTAGGCTTACTGGCTGCACAGACACGACATGCTAAATGAAAATCTAATGTAGATGTGTCTTATGTTTTGGTGGTAAAGCATTGTTAAGCAATTAGCAGAGTTCATCTTGTGATAGGGATATATTATGGTTGTCTGAAATAAGATGAGTATCTAATTGTGGTGTAAATGGGAGCCTTTCATAGAAATGCCATTTCTAATAGGCTGTGGACAGAAATCTTGGGTTTAGGAGTGGTGGGGAGGGAGACCAGGGATTGAATATGGTAGTAGAAAAAATTCTGGTTTTAACAGAGACAAGACCTGACACCACCCGTGCGCCCCCTTCCCCCCCCCCCCCCCCCGCATAGTTTGCTAAAATAGTTGAACAGCAGCTTTTCATACTGTGTGCAGATGATGCAAAAGAATATTTGCTATCTGAGTGATAGTGCTGACATGTATATCCACCAAGATCGCTGATGCACTCCTATCTGTGCTCCATAGTGTACTCAAATGGCTTTGGAGCATCTGAATGGTGGTCTGTGTTTCAGGACAGGATATCCAGCCCAAGCGTGATCTGACACGTTTTGTGAAATGGCCACGCTACATCAGACTCCAGCGGCAGAGATCCATTCTTTACAAACGTTTGAAGGTGCCCCCTGCAATTAACCAGTTCACCCAGGCTTTGGACCGCCAAACAGGTAAGATCAAGATCTGAAAAACCTTTCTTGGTTCTAGTTGCTTATAATGAGGGTCTGAGAAAACAAAATTTTGACTTAACATGTAAAAATCTACATGTTGAGTTACTTCAATTTGAAAGGTTTTTTGTGTGGGTTCTGATACTGATCTGTGTGGGGGAGGGGGAATTTGTAGTTCCATTCAAGAGCTATCTGAACACACCTGTGCATCATCAGGGTTCACTATCTGTCTGGGGAAATGTTAGATCATTCCCACTCTCCATGTTCTCCCAAAAATACAAGGGCCCTGATCTTGAATTTGGACCTTAGTATGTACCTTAAGTGTACATGGAAAGTATGGGGCCCAGTTGCATCACTGTAAATAGTCTCCTGAGTAGAGTTGGATTGGGGTGCAGGCTTGTGGAGGGAACAGCAGTCAGATAAGTTGAGCTAGAATAAGGGGAAAATTGGGGCTGGAGGTCAGAAAGATGCAACTGCCAACACACGGAAATGGTTTGTAAAAGAGCAATAAGTATAGAAGAATTTTCAGCCTAAGTAATACAGAGTAACTAGTTATCTGGGAGGCTGATATAAAATGTGCTCCTCTATTACAAGGAGGGGGACAACAAGGGATAAGTTGCCCACACTTTAACCATAGATCCTGTAGAAAGAGGGGTTTAGTTGGCTGATACTATGAGCAGGTATCTATGTTGCTATGAATGAAGCAGGGGTGCCAGGAAGAGATCTAACTTGTGACATGCAAATGAGAAGGTACATGCACAGCAGCAGAGCCTAAAATTGGCACTAGAGCTGCGTAGTGCAAGAATAAGATAACACTGTGCAAATGATGATGATTAATATTTGCTATCTGAGCATTAATGATGACTACTCACCACCAAGATCGCTGATGCACAAAAATATCTTTTGGGGGGGGGGGGGAATAACCTGTCTTTAAGGCAACTAATGGAATCTGGATTATGTTTCAGCTACTCAACTTCTGAAATTGGCTCACAAATACAGACCTGAGACCAAGCAAGAGAAGAAACAGAGGCTGCTGGCTCGTGCTGAGCAGAAAGCTGCAGGAAAGGGGGATGTTCCTACTAAGAGACCACCTGTCCTCAGAGCTGGTAACTGTCTACATTTGTTTTGTGTTTAACTTGCCTTGGTGTCTAGAGAGAAGGCCTTATTCTATAACTGACAAGAGTAGGCTACTTCGTTTTCTTTTGTGTTCTTCCTTCTCCACATTGATCAATGACTTGGACAAGCTATTGCAATGATGTATGAATTTCTTCACCTGAAATGCAAACTGAAGAGCAAACAAAACGAGCTTTTTAACCCTGAGCTATAGCAGATTGTCCATATAATATTTCTCTTGCAAATCTTGATCGGTAGGAGCTGGTGGCCACACACAACTGTCCCTTGAATCGTAGATCTGTATACAAGCCATGTAATACTCAAAGGCCTTCTGGTGGCTTTTTCAAAAACTTGGCCATACCAAAGACCTTACTTTATTGATTTTTCTTTGCAGGTGTCAACACGGTCACTACTCTAGTAGAGAACAAGAAAGCTCAGCTGGTAGTGATTGCCCATGATGTGGATCCCATTGAGGTAAGTGGCTTATTCTTTTGTAAGTACTCTGTTCTAAAATAGTCCTGATCAGATCCCTCTATTATATGGACTTCTAGGGGTGTCTGGAGCAATATCAGTAGTTCAGTAACATAACTCTCTAACTGGATTGAGCTAGGAAAGGGTAAATCCATAATTGGCATTAATTTGCTATGCCAGGTTTGGAGCCTAGCTCAGGCAAAGGCATAGTAAGATATTTTTCATTATAGAAAACATTATTATTCATTATTTCATTATGAAGTTGAGAAATTTGTTACTGTTACTTCGTATGCATGTTCTGTACAACATGTAATAAACCAAATTTGTACTGAATGGTCTTAGTGGTAGAGTTCTTGGCTTTTACATAGTGAGGCTTGGCCATTGCAATGATGTATGAATTTCTTCACCTGAAACTCAACCATGAAGAGTAAACTATATAAGAGCTTTTTAACCCTGAGCAATTGCCAAAGCCCACCCTTTTATTTGCATGTTGCAAAGCCAAGAGGGTAGTCTTCATTCTTGGGCCTCTGACCCTACACATCCTTAATCTCTTCCTAGTTGGTGGTCTTCCTGCCTGCCTTGTGCCGCAAAATGGGAGTTCCGTACTGTATCATCAAGGGCAAGGCCAGACTGGGGCGGCTGGTCCACAGAAAGACCTGCACCAGTGTTGCCTTCACACAGGTTAACCCGTAAGTGTTTGTTCTCATGCTTTCTAAGAATCTAAATTTGATTAGCTCAGAAGCAGAGAGCAGACAGCCATCCTCCTAGTTAAAGATTGGGGGGTGGGAGGGGAAGACCATCTTCCAAAGAAAAAGCCACACCAGATTTCTATTCTAGACTAAGTACCAACAGACTTAAAAAACTGAACAGTACATAGGGCCTGATAAAACCACTGTTAATACAGGTGTAACTCTGGATATGTCTACACAGTAGTACAACCTATGGCATGGCTGTAGCTGGCCCAGGACAGTTGATTCAGGTTTGGGCTGTGGGGTTTTAGAATTGCATTGTAGACATCTGGGCTGGAGCCTGGGCCCCGACTCCCTGTTGGGGAGGGGGAATAGTTGTGAAGTATTGTCAGTCTGCTGCATGGAGAGGCCATGCTAAATGGTAGTTTTAATAATGGTGGACCTTTTGACAATGATGCAAATAGAATTTCTTCACCTGAAAAATCATGTGGCATTAAGAGCTTTTTAACCCTGAGACAAAAGGTTCCTCAGAAAATGCGGCTGCTATTTCTGTTGGTGTTCCAAAGGAACTAACGCTAGTATCTCATTACAGTGAGGATAAAGGAGCCCTAGCCAAGCTGGTTGAGGCTGTCAAGACCAACTATAATGATAGATATGATGAGGTAAGAATTTCTGTGCCACTAGCCCTTTTTGTGTCAACATCCGTCTTGAGCCCATACACTTCCAGATTCCTTGAAAAAAAATCTTATTGGACAGAAGCGGAAAACAGTGCAGATTTAGATGCAAGTAGCTAGAAATAAATGACACCAACTGTCTGACAGGCCCAAACCTCTGCACACAGCACCTTTTGGTCCTTTCATAGGAACTTTGCAGTCTGCCTTCCAGAACCAGGGCTTCCTGGAGTTAAAATTACAGCTCCCAGAATACCAGTTCATATCATGTTTCACTGTTATGTACAAATTCAGTGAATTCAAACCCATTCTTTTCTCAGTCTTAGTGATTTTCACAATCTGCTTAGTAAATCCATCATGTGGGGAAGATGTGATGTAGTTGCCAAATATAGACATTCTTTAAGCATCTGGAACCTGAAGTCAGTGACTTGCAGGAACTGAATTATTAAAGTTCTACACTGTGGGATAAAGGGTTAACTAATCATTCTGATAGCTTATGCTGGACTTACTGGGAAAGGGTGCCTAACCTATTCTTTTTTTTTTTCCCCCTCTCTAGATCCGTCGTCACTGGGGTGGTAATGTCTTGGGGCCAAAATCAGTGGCTCGCATTGCCAAGCTTGAGAAAGCCAAGGCTAAAGAACTAGCCACCAAGCTGGGCTAAATGTACTGGACATAGATTTTTCTGTACATAAAAAAATAAAATCTAAAACAGTGTTTCAGCATGGCGTCTGATCTGGGATGTTTCAAAAAAGCTAGTATTAAAGCACTTGAGTCCTAAGTAAATGCGAAGACAAGAACTGAATAGCCATTGAGTGTTCATCAATCCCTTAGTGCTGGGAGTGTAAACCCAGTTAACAAAAAGGAAGCCACTGAACCTACTGCAAAGACTCAGTAAACTAGAAACCACTTTACCCCTTACTGCCAGTCTTCTGTAGTGTCCTGGATAACTTATGCCTTAATACATATATGCTGTAAAACCTCGTGAAATTCACCAGAAAATTTAACCTTAAATGCATCATGTATGTATGGCCCACTTTTCTCTTTAAATGGACCTGTGGCTATGGCAGTGCACTGGGCCTCAGGACTCCCATTGCAAAGCTAGGAACTGAACCTGCCGCTCCTGTGCAGTGACGCACTTCATCAGTACACAACTTGTAAAACAGGAGACTTTTTCCTTCTGGCTCTTGGAGGAGTCCCTTCCCCTAACCGTTTGTTGTGGATTTGTCTGAAATACTCTTCACAAGACCTGTATTGCTAAAGCAGTATAATCCCTATTGGGGATGCAGGTATGGTTTGTCTACAAGCTATGATGATACATGACTGTAGGCCAGGCCTGTGATTTAAAAGCTAGTTTATCTAGCGTAGGGGTTCCCAAACTGGGGGTTGTGACCCCTCAGGGGTTCACAAGGTTGTACCTGGGGGTCACTAGCTGTCAGCATCCACCCCAAACCCAACTTTGCCTCCAGCATTTGTAATGGTGTTAGTGTGTTTAGGGGGGGTCACACTCGAGGCTTGCTATGTGAAAGGGGTCACCAGTACAAAAGTTTGAGAGCCACTGATCTAGCTCATTCTAATTTTCTAAGCTTGATCTAATAAACATAACTATGCATGTACCAAGCTAGCTATATTAAACTATTTTCACTTGACTGCCTTAAGTTATGTAGCTGACATACCTAAATCAAAATCATGCCTTTTAAAAGCCTTGTCAAGGCCTGCTTACAGGCTCAAGCTTTACTGTAGCAAATGTCAAGAGGGCACTTCTGTTTTCCATGGTTTAGTGTTTGCAATTTCTGAGTTTTATGTAGATGCTGAAAACTCCTGGGGAGTTCTGAGCCTGTGCAGAATTTGTCCTCCACAGCTTCTTGTTTCCCTGCAGAAAAATGACTGAGGGGTAAGCAAAGGAAGTCATACAACCCTCCCCACCACCTTCTGCACCCATGGCTTCTCAGCTGCAGGGGGGAGGGATCCTTGTACAGGCAACTGCTTCCTCAGTGTAACTCAACCAGCTGGACCCAGATCCCCACCCCAGAGTGCCACTCTCCTATCAGCTGGACCCTCCACTAAGCTCTGTCCTGCCCCAACCACCTTCAGCTTGCCTCCCCTTGCAGAGTCCCATTACCATTGCACCTAGAACCCCTAACAAGCCCATCTGCATCCAGATCTCCCTACTCCCCCAGTGAACCACCTGCACCCAGATTGCCCCATGTAGAACCCTCTCAACCCACACCTCAATCCCTCCATGCTTGGGAGCTGCACAGTGGTCTTCCCCCCTCTATGCAGCCAGTGGCCTGTGCTCCCCAATGCTCTATTGAAGCCTCCATGTTTGTTTGACAAAATTTGCAGAATTTTAAAGTGTGCAGAATTTTTAGTTTTTGGCAGAGTGCCCTCAAGAGTAGCTCTTTATACATGTAATGAATGTACAGTATGTGCTACTGGAATGAGTAACCTTTACTTGTGCATTTTAGTGTAGTACTCTTTCAACTAGCACTAGGGAACTGTTAGTGTGCTTTAGAAATCCCACTGCTGTAGTATGCATTATAGCTTTTTGTGGGCAAGCTCTAGATAGAGGTAGCTGTTTTTGGTGGTTATTGGATAAATGCTGACTCACTTTTTTGTAGCTAGGCTTTTATCAGTTAATATAAAGGAAGCCCTGTCTAAGGCACAGAACTAGCCAACTGCTGTTAACAACCTAGAGTTTAGCACTTAACACTCTGAATATTGTAGAGGGAGCCTAGCTACCAAAGAATGGGATTCATAAAAGCCAGTATGTGTAAGTTAGCCACTACAAAACTTGTTACCTAAGCCCTGCCTCTCAAAGGAAGTTAGTTACTCTTTGCCTTTGCGGGGGGGGGGGGGCTGAACCTGTGTATCCTGCACAGATATTGTAGCTACTAGCCTAAAGGTTAAGGGGTGCATCCTTCCCCCACTCCTTGTGTAGGTTTAGGCATGCCCAGACCATATCTACCAGAATGGGCCCCAAAGGTGAGATAGATGAAAGAACCCCTTAGTCGGTACTGGTGGGGCATAGACACTTTCAGGGTAATGCCAGGGCTACCTCAACTATTAGTATTATAGCACCTACCCCATTAAGTTAAGGAAGCTTAAGTGCAGAGGATCTAATATCTCCTAGCTGATAAGACATACACAGAGCAAAAGACCACATGTACAAAGAGCCCTTTATTTCCTCATCTGCAAACCTTTAAAAAAAACAATCCAGAGGACCTGATTCATTGGATCATGAGTGAACTTTGAGAGGTATTTCTAATAGTTTCCACCATCATGACAGAAGTACTCAAGTTGTACCTCATACCTCCTTGTGATTGATAAACCATTTCCTGAATTATCACCTACACCAGGTGAAAGTAGCAATCAATTTGAAAATATTTCTTCCCCACCTTATGCAAAAACAGGCAAGGCAGTGATAGCATAAGCCCTACGCAACCATGGCTCAATGCTTCCAAGAAGTAGCTACAACCAATTTCCAGGGAGTGGCCAGACTCAAGATGCTAGAACATCTGGCTTTACAGATTTCTTTTACAGAAGCTGATCAGCAGTTTTATGGTCATTCACTAGCTGCATTGATTTATAGAGCAGCATAGCCACAACAAGCACTTGATAGGCCAGAGCCAGCTTGGGATGAAGACTCAAATGAAACTTGCAATTTGTGAATTTGGTTCTTTCACAGCCAGGCCAGTTTCTTCTCCATGGGTCTTCTCTGAGCTTGAGGTCTTGTATGTGTTGCATCAAGGAAAGACCCATAGGGGGCCTTCTCTCAGAGGGGTATTTTTTGTATGAACTTTTTGTACCACATGTAGGATGTTGCAGCACATAAGCCATACCTGCAAATGGGAATGGAAGAGTCAGTCAGAAAGGGAACAAGACAGTTTCAGCAGGTGATTTTAAAGGGGGAGAGCTGGCAGACAATATTATATACTGCTCTGTAGCTGCAGCTTGGATTACTGGAGCATCTACCATGCACAGATCTCCAAGTATTTTCCATACATTAGGCCTTAAAAGAACTCATTTTACAGATAGGGAAATGGAGGCCCAGAAAGGCTAAGTGACTTGTCACAGGCCATAAAGCGAAGCAGTAGGAAAGCCAGATATTTTCGAGTCAATGCTGTTAACTCCCTCACTTTCAGTCCTCCCAGTGTTGCATAAGTCAGCCAATTTAAACTCTGGAAGCTTAAAGTAATAGTAAATGCAGGCTTACCAGGTAATTATGTACTGCATATGTTCATTCCTCAAGGTCACTCTTGTCTGGCCTCCAATGGGTCCCCCTGGGACTGTGCTCCCTATAAGTGCAATATGGTGCCACAGATTAAAACAGGCTTAAAGAATAGTGTTTGTACAACACCAAGCACAATGGGGTCTTGGTCTATGACTGGGGCTATGGTAATATAAATTAATAGTCTGCATCGCACATGACTGTACAATGGAGTCAGTATCTCCCCATCCTATTACCCACTGTGCCTACAAGTTTCTTGAGTTATTTGCAAAACCTACTGCAGCTGTAGAGTTGACTCTTCCCTGGGAGCTCAATGGTGAATATAAAACATATTTTTGCTGTAGCAGCAGCATTCTATAACAGGTGCTGTTTTCCTTCTTGAGCCCAGCCACGTGAAACAGGTGCTCTTATCTCTCTGTGGGTGCTGGCTTGGCCCCTTGCTATAGGAATGGAGGTGAGAACATAGAATTCTCATGCACCTTTGTATACTGAGCTGTCATTCTGCAGTGCTGGTAATCTTATTCAAGATACTAAACTTGACAAAAAACAGGAAACAAAGATAGAGGTGCAATACCTGTCTGCCCCGCCTACTGTCTTGAAATGCCTGAGGTAAGTCTCTAGAGAAATGCACTAAAGTCTAAGCCAGTTAGCAAATTAATATTTCTACACTAAGAAAAATAAGCAAAGTACTTCTGTCAGTCACTGCACTAGGACTCCTCTGCCTCCCACAGGTATTACAGATTTCAGGACAAGAGACACACTAGGCCACTCTCAAACTGAGGAGGAGATAGACAAAGAGCTAGATTCCCCTTTGTCTTACTGAAATCTGCATCGATAAAGATGGGCTCAGCGCCAGTCACCCTCGCCATAGCCTCCAGGTCACGGTAATGCCAGCGGTTCTTTTCTATGTTGTTTTCAGGCACAAAAGGCTTCCGGGTTTCCGACAGCCTCACCACTCCAACAAGGTCTATTTCGTCTCGGATCTAAAGGAAGGGAAAAAAACCCAGCAGATTTCTTTGCAGCTTATACCTTTCCAAAATTCCCTTGGGCCCTGGTGAATATTTATCTGGGTCATAAAACTCCAGCACCATCCAAGGGCCACAGAGGGGAGAACTGATGGTGCCGCAGGTTAAGACAGAGATGTGTAGCAGAGGAATAGGCAGATCAGTATCAGTTTCTCATTTTAAAGAGCACTACATTCATTCAAGCCAAAGGGGAGAAAAACTCCACCTGCTTTGAGTAGTACAGTGTATCCGTCCACTTCAAGATATTGAATAGTCATGTGACCTACTATGGTGCCAAACGCATCTAGTGGTCTTACTTGGCATATGAACAGCTTCTCCCAGACAGTCCCAGCAGAACTCTAACTAGTGAGGCTTTACGCTATTCCTCTTACCTGTCCTTTCAGTCTGGTCTCTGGTTTCACCTTCTTTTTAGGGACAAATCCTCGATTGACTAGAATTGTGATCCTACAGTTACATATAAAAACAGAGAGAAGAAAAGAAAAAGTCCTTCACAAGCAAAAGCAGAACTCCCATCACCTTCCTCTACTTCCTGAACTACCTACCAAGGAGATTAGCAAGCCAGGCGTTTGGTGGCCACTTTTTTTTAGCCTGTTAAATGTATTTAAAACCCACTGTAATCAACAATTCGGAGTCAAGGCTCAGTGGCCCTACTGGTTATCAGGAAGATTCTTATAAGGGGAAAAGAATGATTTATACAAGTCCAGCTGCTGCAATTCAATCTTTGGAAGGGAGGAGGAAGCAACACATGCTTCAGAGTTTCAGGTGCCTGGCTGTAGCACAGCAGTAATACACACGATTCTCTGGTTAGTATCTGAACATACCCTAGATCTGTGCAGTAGAAGGGAGTAATGACATTTGCTCCACTCTCTGGGTTGGATGTCAGCCGTCCAGCTTCTCTGGATTCTCGTTCAGGATCCACCAATGAACGTGGCAAAATATAGAGCTCCTTGGAGTGGTCGAAATACCCTCGGGCCTTTACAGACCTGTACTCCAGTTCCTTTAGCTCCATGGGGCTGCAGGGAAACATGATGCACGGAGATGAAAGATGCAGTTAGTTCCATAATTTCATTTAGAAAATATCTCCTTCCTCCTGTTATTCCCCCACGGACGAATTTGCAAGGTGGCAAGTAAAGCAAAGAAGGCACCAGCAACAGTGGAAATGGGGGGGGGGGGGCAGGAGAGAATGCTCCTGAGATAAACCGGTGGTTTCATAATTTAGTAGCACAAGAGAAAAGGTTACATCAATTCACAGTAAGATCAGTCAGTAGTATTCTGAGTGCATTCACAGATGCATAAATCAGTTGAGTCTCTTCCATGCCACTTGCACCCAAACACTTTTATGTGTCCCAGCTAGGCAAACACCAGTCAGAGAGGAGGAGGGTCTGCTTCCTGCTAACACAGCACATAGATGCCAAATCAACAGGAGAGATTTCCCTTCCTGTCTCAATCCCCGAATTTGCACAAATTGGGAGTGTTTTCACACTCAGTATTGGATGGCCATGTGATCTAACAGAACCCTTCTCCCACACCGCTTTCCTCCATCTGACAAACGGTTTCCATGCTCGGCCAGAACCCAGGTACTGAGGGCATGATCCAAGGCCCTCTGAAATCAATGGGAATCTTTCCATTGACTTCAGTGGTCTTTGGATCGAATCCTAAGCACTGTCCCTTCTATGGATCTCATCCCCAGCAATACCTCCAATAGCTTCCTGCCCCGGAGTGGTCATCCTGTGCATCATACTTGTCTGAATTATACTGCAAACTCTACAAGACGGAGACCTTGCCTTTTAAAGTACTGCGTATATTTATGGCACTGCATGATGCCTCTCCCAGGGACGTGCTCTCAGTCCCTATTTAAAATAATGGAACTAACATGACATTTACCTTCCTTCCCTTCTTGTTCACATTGTTTTTTGTGGCATCCCTTCATTTGTATGTCATCTAGTAAGCTCCTGGGGACGAGGATTATGTCTAAAGTTCCTAGCACATAGTTGGAGCTACATAAACAAACAGTAGCATCCCAACTCTCACACTTACTCTATAGGCAGAGGAACGGGCTCTGACGCAACTCTTGACTCCAAATCTGCTATCAATTTTAGCTTCCACTTCCGACGCTGAACCTGGGAATGCACAAACGCACAAGTAGTAGTGCACAGCAGTGTCATATATATGGGAGCTGTTTATAATGAGTTCTTGCAATTTGGGGAGGGAACTCCATATCATCATCAGGATTTTTTCCTCCATCATGGGTCACATTGGTCTATTACAGGAAAGCCTGTGATTTGAAAAGTGAGACCACTACATTTTAGGGAGAAAAAAAAGAGTACTAAAACATGGGTTTAAGGAAAATGAATCTCCCATCCTCAAACTTGCATGGAATTTGCCAACAGACACAAAGAAAAAAAAAGGGGGCGGGTCAAATTTGGGGGTTGGCCACCCTCTGTGTTGCCACTTAAGAGGGCCATGTCTTTGAGTTAGGCCACGCACCATCCTGAACAGTTTCCACTCCTTCCTAAGTGCTCAGATGTCTCAGGAGAATGAAATGGTGGTATTTACCTGCCATGTACCAAGACAAAACGTGGTGAGGGGGATCAGTAAAAGGCCCCACTTGAATAAGACATCCTCTTCAGATTTAGCAGAAGCTGCTGTGGAACTTCCACATCTGCAGGGTCTCAAGCAAATCTCTGGAATACATTAAAATGAGAAACAGGACCCAGCTAAATTCCTGCAGGGTTTGCCCCATCAGAAATGGAAGGTGAACATGCTCCAAAGCTACCATTCTATTGGCTTAATGCTAGTCAGCTATTTTATTTACATTATATGAGGTATCTATTAATAGGATACTTGGAGATTTTCATCTTCAGAGAGCTTTATAATTAGTTAATCTTCCCTGCATTCCTTGAGGTGGGTGAAAGAACTCTATTTATGACAATAGCCTTTTAATTACATTGAATCCTAATACATTTAAAATAAAATAAATTACCCACTACCAAAGCAGAAGCTGTTCCTCTTTTCACTCTCCTCATACCAAATATTGTTGCAATGCAGCATAGGTACATGGCTGCTCAAAATACAACACCTTCTGGAATCAAACGGAGTAGGACCCAAAAAATTCTCCCTTACCTTTATTTTGCTGAACCAGACCAGAATGTGCTTTAATAAGAGAATATCCAAAAAAATTTCTTCTGACCAAACAGTTTGATATCTAAACAAAATGAGAGACATCCTGTAGCCCAGTGGCTCTTAAACATTTTTTTACTTGTGACCCCTTTCACATAGCAAGTCTCTAAGTGTGACCCCCCCTTATAAATTAAAAACACTTTTTTATATATTTAACACCATTATAAATGGTGGAGGCAAAGCGTGGTTTGGGGTGGAGGTTGACAGCTCATGACCCCCCCATGTAATAACCTTGTGACCCCCTGAGGGGTCCCAACCCCGAGTCTGAGAACCTCTGTTGTAGCTGCTCTGCTTTGCAATTGGCCCCACATGATAATCGTTGTCACAGTGACCTTATAAGATGATTTTATTTGCTGGAGAAAAGGTATTGTAGATCTCCTCTGAACCATCATCCCTAACTCATTCTGATTTAGATTACAAAACAAAGAATTTAAAATCAAATTTCAATTGTAGGAATATAGTTCAATTATGACTGCTCTTTACCTTCATGTTATTCTGTATTAGAAATCAGATAGAACAAATTAGGACACTGTTTCTTAACATGATTGGGAACATCTCCTTGCTATAAATGCCATCAGAGTTCTGGTACCTCATAACTTTTGAGCTTCATTAAATCAGTTGGCATATTACCATCTAACAGACATGGCCAGACTCAGATACTTTGTCCCCTACCAACATCATCATGTTGGTTAATAACAGATTGACAGCTGTCAGTCGTTATTGGTCAGTATTTTAGAACTAGCTTCATTTGGATTTGGACGCTACTGGATGGCTTAATCCCTGACACAAGATGTCCCATTTATCTATGTCCTTCAGTCATCTCACAAGCTCAATGTCTAACTGACAAAAATGAGTAATCTCCAGAAGTGGTGCAGTGTCTACAGGCGCAAGCAGACCAACCAGGATGTGTTCAGCCTAAGCTTACATGAAGCCTGGAACATTAACTAAGCACTTTGGAAGCACACAGTGCTATTAACAATAATGCAATAATTAACACGTCTAATATAACCTAATGTATCCTTAGACGGTTTTAGAAGGGACTAGAGTTCTGGGTACTGTTTAAGAGACCAGACAGACGGGGATTTCATTTACAGCAGTCGTTATACACGCTCCCTTTTGTGATGAATGTACCCCTCCTCCCCGATTGTGTTTCAATGGGATATTTTAGCGAGCCTCACTCCGTTTTTGAGACCTCTCTGTTCAGAGTACCCCAGCTGGAAACAAGCCGCGTGTCTTTCATAATAAACACCCCCCACACCCACCTACCTACACCCCTTCCCCCGGCCTGACACCCCTGGGGGACCACAGACTAGATACACCCAACCTAACAGCACAGATCAAGCCCATGGCCACCTTGCCCCCGAGCCCCCGCGACAGGGCGAGGAGAGGCCTGGCCGGGTACCAGCGCTCCCTCCCCACCGTTCGCGGCAGGAGCGAGGGGCAGGCGGCCTGACACAGCGCTCAGCCCCCTGGCCCAGCCTGCGCCTCACCGGGCAGCCCGGGCAAGCCCCGGCCCCACCGCAGTTGTGGGCCCCGGCCGGAGAAGGGGGCCCCGGGCTCCTACCTGGTAGCTGGCCTTGCGCAGCGGCAGCAACCGGCCCCAGCCGGCCATAGCGGCCCCAGCGAGCAGCAGCAGGGCACCGCTCCCCGGCTCTTCCGCCCCGCCTCCGCTGCTTCCTCTTCCGGCTCCCACCGGAAGTCGGGGGTGTCCGGCCGGCCGCTGCTCTCTATGGTTCCGGCTCCCGGAGCCTCCGGGGTTCCCTGACTTCCGGCGTGGGCCGTGGCGTAGGCTGGCCGGCTGCCCCCACGTGGGGGCCGGGGCGGAGCAGGAGGCGGCCGGGCTCCGCCACCCTCCAGCGCCATCATGTGCGAGGTGCCCGCGGAGGTTCAGCGCTTCCTACAGCAGCACCCGGTGCTGCGCCTCGTCGAGCCGGGCAATAAGGCAAGTTGCCTGGGGGGGCCAGTCCCGGGGGCGGGGTGAGTCGGGGGGCGCAGTCCCGGGGGCGGGCTGAGGCGAGCGGCCCGGGGGGCAGTCCCAGGGGTGCAGGGGGGGTGGGGTGAGGCGAGCGGCCCGGGGGGGGGGGGAAGTCCCAGGGGGCAGTCCCAGGGGTGCAGGGGGGGCGGGCTGAGGCGAGCGGCCCGGGGGGCAGTCCCAGGGGTGGAGGGGGGGCGGGCTGAGGCGAGTGGCCCGGGGGGAGGGGGGGCGGTCCCAGGGGTGCAGGGGGGGCGGGCTGAGGCGAGCGGCCCGGGGGGAGGGGGGTGGGGGAGGGGGCGGGTCCCAGGGGGTGGAGGGGGGCGGGCTGAGGTGAGTGGCCCGGGGGGGAGGGGGCAGTCCCAGGGATGGAGGGGGGTGGGCTGAGGCGAGCGGCCCGGGGGGGGGGGGGCAGTCCCAGGGGTGCAGGGGGGGCGGGCTGAGGCGAGTGGCCCGGGGGGGGAGGGGGGGCAGTCCCAGGGATGGAGGGGGGGTGGGCTGAGGCGAGCAGCCCAGGGGCGGACCCCAGTCCGGGGGTGGGGGGATCTCCAAGTCAGAGGAAGTGTTAGCCAGGGGGAGGGTGGTGCAGCGCTCATGAAGGGGAGCACAGATCTCCCTGCCTGCACCTCTGGATACCAGCCCAGCAGACAGGGCCCACAGGGTGGGCAGGGGAGGGGTCTGCTACCCCTGCCCCTTGCTCTGTTAGGGGTGGGGGTTTGGGGACCAAAATGATGTAAACCGCAGGGAAGGTTGCTTGGGGGTGTCTGGAGCCGGGGAAGAGGAGTTAGACCTTTATGCCTAGCCTGGAAAGAGCCAGAGTATCACAGGGGCCCTTGCAGTGCTCCAATAGGCTGTTTTCTTCTCTCCTTTTTGGCTGCTCAGGTAAAATGCAGGTTGACAGGTCACGAGCTGCCATGTCGGATGCCAGAGCTGCAAGCTTATACTAGTGGCAAGAAGTATCTGAGACTGATAAAGACCGCAAGAGCATTTGACTACAGCGAATTCGAGCCACACATTGTGCCCAGTACTAAGAATCCGTGCGTGTCTGTTTCTTCCTTAATGTTCACATGGAGCTCTTGCTATTGTTAATTGTATGGCCAATGGGGGAGTGATGCCTGAGTGTTTAAGTAGGTATCCATCCAGTGGGCTGGAAAAGCATTTATAAAGCAGCTTTTGACTCTGAACTGGCCGCTTAGAGGTGAGAGACTCTCATTTCTTTTATATAATAATTTTACTAAACTGCATGTCTGGTTTTTCTTCTCTAGCCACCAGCTGTTTTGCAAGCTCACTCTCAGGCACATCAACAGGCTTCCAGAGCATGTGCTGCGTCATGTCCAAGGAAGGCGCTATCAGAGAGCGCTGAAAAAATGTAAGTGGCTCTATCGTCTTCTGCTGTGTTTTTTCTCTTCCCTTTCTGACCTTTTAACGTGCTCTCCTGCTATGCATGTGTAGAGTGTTTGGAAATCGTTCTGCAGCATGGCAGTAATACAGAGCAGTGCTCCTGCATGCTTCCCCAAGCCAGGAAGGAAGGGTGACTTAAAAAGTAGAGAGCAATGGTTTTCTATAGTGAACAAATTGGAGTGTCTACTTTAAAGTAGGGATTCTCAAACTTTCCAATAGCGTAGGTCACACTTTAATTCAGGGATTGCCTTGTAGACATGTTTCCTTCCATTTGTGATCTCGTAATGTCCCTGTGGCAATTGTTACTTGCACCAAAAATGTAATTAGGAAATTATTTAATATTTTTTTAGCTGCCCTTTGTTAGGATAAAGATATTCAGGCCAGTCTGCAAAGGCCTGTACTTTAAGAATTTAGGTGTATTCTTATCACTTGGCTAATTATAGAGGTATAAAAGAAAGAATCAAAATCACTATCTGCTGGTGTAAGGGCCTTCTCTTACTGTGATGGTCTGAGGCCCTGTTCTTAGGCTAAGACCTTTGGCTAAGCAGCAGAGGCAGCCATAAGCTGGGAAGCAAACAGTCACATCCTCACATTCCAAACTAGTCACATTGAAATAAGGTGCTATTGGGCTGTTAGGCACTTATCAGGACAGGATTGTATTCCTATCACCTTCAGAGAAAGGGAAGTGCCTAGAAAATATAAAAGGAAACTTAGTTTGATAGCATCCTGTCTGGCAAGAACTCACTTATCAAAAGCTGGGATGTGAAATCCTCACTTCTGTATTGTTTTGTCATTATAGTTCCCACTTTGCTATTGTTTGTCTGTATAATCTCTCTGGTTCTGTGATTGTTCCTGTCTGCTGTATAATTAATTTTGCTGGGTGTAAACTAATTAAGGTGGTGGGATATAATTGGTTACATAATCATGTTACAGTATGTTAGGATTGGTTAGTTAAATTTCAGGAAAATGATTGATTAAGGTATAGCTAAGCGGAACTCAAGTTTTACTATATAATCTATAGTCAATGAGGAAGTGGGTGTGGGTGGGAGGGGGTGGCTGTGCGGGGGAGATGGGAACAGGGAATGGGAGTAAGGAAGTTGGAATCATGTTTGGCTAAGGGTAGGAATGGGAACAGGGATACAGGTGTAAGGCTCTGTGGTGTCAGAGCTGGGAAGGAGGATACTAAGGAAGGAAACTGGAATCATGCTTGCTGGAAGTTCACCCCAATAAACATCAAATTGTTTGCACCTTTGGACTTCGGGTATTGTTGCTCTCTGTTCATGCGAGAAGGACCAGGGAAGTAAGTGGGTGAAGGAATAAGCCCCCTAACATCCTTAAGTACAACTTAGCAGCTGGAAATGGGGAGGAACTGGTACCAAGTGACTAGCCACCTCTCTGCACACCACAGTTTGTGAACTTCTTGGGCCTCACTAATGCAAACCTGCATAACAGCTCCTATCTGTGGGGAATTGTGTTAAGACTTCAAGTCATTCTCAAGACTAAATGTGTCTGGCTCTTGACATAGTTATGTTTCATCAGCAAAGGTACTGGAGGTTGCAGATTACTGGTCTTCAGATCCTGCCCAGGTCAGCAGTGACTAAATGTCAGCATCTGTTGGCTGCTTGATGGCCTGTATGAAGTGAGCTGGCATATTCCAGTCCAGGTTCTGGTGAGCAAGCAGCCACCTCATAAAAAACATCTCCCCTGCAGTTACAGTATCTGTAGGTACTATTGGCATTCTCATCAGATAAGCCAAGTTTTGAATGGACCAGGAAGACTGAACTACACTGCAGCTCTCGTAGGGATCTCCCAGTGAGAGTTGGGGCAGTGTGTGTGGGAAGCTGGCATTGGTGTTGCTCGTGCTGTACTTCCTCAGTGGACTCCAGTCTGCAGGGCACCTTTCACAAACAGTAAACACACACCCCCTTTGCTGCTGCTAGAAACCGAAATATGGGCAGCGTGACAAAATCTTAGGCTCCCTAGGTCTGCTTAAAGTCCCTCTAGATCTGCTCATAGATGCTGTTTGCATTTCTGACGTGCTGCCTAGCACTGTGCTCTGCTTCTAGTCCATTCTGTTCTTAACGAGACCACCAAATTCTTGAACCACTTGCATTATTTGTGAATGAGCCCTGCCTGGTTTGTTTTTAGATGAGGAGTGCCAGAAGGAGGGCGTGGAGTACGTCCCTGCCTGCCTCCTGCAGAAGAGACAGCGGCGACGAGATGACCAGGCCGAGGGGAGCAGGCAGCCCCGCAGAAAGGGAGAATTTTGGGAGCCTATGTCCAGTGAAGAGGAAGAAGATGACACAGATGATAGCATGAGCGACCTGTACCCATGTGAGCAAGAGCTTTTGTGTTTTCTGACTGTCTTAAAGGGGTGCTCTCAGTTTCTATTCCCTGGCTCCTCCTCTTCCTAGTTGGCTACCCGCTGGGAAGCCACAAAGCCAACTCAATTTAATGTCAATTTAAACTTTGTTAGCAGCATGGGGGAGGGATGCCTGGAGATAATTTTTTATTGGTTGCTAACAGAAAAGAACAAAATTGTAGGAAAAGAGATGTAGCGTTTCCTTTGCTAGCATTAGAGGGCAGCAGCAGGACTGGATCCAGCCAATGATTTTACTGATGTAATGCCAGCAGGAGGAACACGTGGCACGTACAACATGTATGTGGGAAGGTGGTGATTCCTAAACACAGAATCCAGAGTGGGTGGGGGTTACTCTTCTCCAGATCCTGAGCATTAAATGCCAATTTTCACTGAATCACCACCAAGACTGAGATCGTACAAGGGGAGAAGCACTTGTCAGCACAGGACCTGCCGGAACCTGCATGCTCACAGGCGACATGCACTCCTCTGCCTTTCCCAGAACAGTCCTGGAGCCTACAATCCCACCCACCCTGCAGAGGATTTCCTACCAGGTAGGGTGAATTCTATTAAGTTCCTGTCTAAAAAAGACTGGAGGAGAGGTGGGGTTGTAAGGCTACTGGAGTATGTCTGCTAAATATCCCCTGTAGCTGGGCTAATAAGGGTACTGGACACTTACTGCTGAAATACGGGGGTTATATTTGTCTTCCTGGTGTCTTGGTAGTAATGTGCTGCCCAGCTGTCGGGGATATTCAGCTATTGCTGATAAAAGGACTGGAATTTGGTGCTTCAGTTTTGCAACCTCCAGTGCCTTTGCTGATGAAACACCTTTAAGAAAGTTGCCTGGGAAGCCATTGGAGTAAGGGCTAAGTCAAAGCAGTAGGCAGAGGAATCTGATCCCAAGTTGGGCCTTACTTTGTGTTTTAGCTGAGCTTTTCCCAGAAAAAAGGCCGGTGGTGCAAGGAGACAGGGAAGGTGGTGATGACTTTGTGACAGACAGCGAGGAAGATGGGGCCAAGCCTGCAGAGGAAAACAGCAGCATGAATGGAGAGGAGAGTGAAAAGATGGACGAGACCAGACGAGCTGGCAACAAAAGGGGAAAGGTGAGTGCTGTGCTGCCATGCACAGCCACATCAAGGGAGAGTGTTTGCAGAATCAGAGGTGAGCCTCTGTGTGTGAGGATGTACTGCATGATTAGACCAATGCTCCATCCCCTCTCCTGTCTGTGAGAGGGGCCGATGCAAGATGGGCTCACCTTTCAGGGGATGTTTCCTCCTGACCCTGGAAGTCTCGTGACTGGCTTAGACCCTGAAGTATTGGGTTTCTATCCTTTAGTGAACTTGTATCCTGGCTAGAGTAACTGCGGATATTATTACCCATACAAATGTCTAGTCCTGGTTTGAATCCTACTGCTTGCTGCCCCAGGAGTGGGAATCTTAGGCCAAGGAGACAGAAGTGTCCTTTAGGTCCTAAAATTACATCCACTACTCCCTCCTTAATCAGTCTCCTTTAGAATGAAAAGGTTGATAGGATTTAAACCCTATCAAGTTGCCCCCTTTACCCTTTCTCAGTGGTCCTGATTCTGCCTGTGGAATCTCTTCACAGGAGCAGACATTTTAGTCCTGATCCTGCAGTCCTTGTGTGTTTGGGAAACAGCAGGAATGCATGTTCAGGCCCTGAATGTGTAAAGTGGTCCAGGTTTCAGGAACATCATTGCTGATGAAAAGGATGATTCTAGAAGACAACTCAGAGGGGAGGAGGTAGATTTCCTCCTTGTCTCCCTTCCTCTACCCGGGGAAGAACAGGATCTGCAGTATTTTATGGCTCAGTTCTATGAGGAGCATTTGGTACAGACACTGTATTTGTTGGGAGAAAGGGAGGGGATGTTGCTTGTAGATCTTATACAAGGGCTGAGAGGAGCTGGAAGTCAAGTCTTGTCTCTTACTGGCCCTGTGTCCTCAGTAACTAGGACTGGGATTGTATGGACACTCTCAACTTGAAAAACAAGAAGTTTGGTGTGATGCTTTGTGCGAGCATTCTAACCCTGGACACATGCAGAGGTTCTTGGAAAGACAGTGCAATTTCTCTCTCTCCACAGCCACAGTTGAATTCCTTAAAGAAGAAATTTAAGAGTCACCATCGAAAACCCAAAAGCTTCAGGAAAGCAGCCAATGGAAAATAAACTTTTCTATAAGTATGAAACACTAGTTGGCTGGAGGTAGTTATGTGGCAGTGTTGTTGTCTAAATGGGGCAGGGTGGCACAAGTCCTACTGAAAAGCCTGCCCCATTGTCAGATTCCAACCATCTGTTTGTGATGGGGAGGGGGCTTTAGTAAGCTGGAGCACAAATGGGTTAAGAGTTGATTCTTGAGGCATCCCCAAGCTCTGACTGAGATACCAATGATTGGGTGCCTTATTTTTTGCTGAAAGGGGTGTCATTTTTATTCCACTTCATGACACCCAGGAATCTGCTACACAGAGGATATTAATACCAAGTGTTAACCAGGGAACACCATCCCTAAAGGGTCACCAACTGTGCGCTCAAGCTGGATACAACAAAGATGCCATAGTTTTATTTTGATGGTTTCCAAAAATCAAACATTTTCAAACACAACTAAGATACAAAATACAGCATAAAATGAGAGTTTATACTTATTTCTCTTTCCACATAAAGCAAAACAAAAAAAAAAGTGAACTCAGAACACTTTGCAAAGCCAATTGGTAGATTACATCCTGCCTTTGAGAGAGCATTCCAACTGTTAGAGAAGTCACTGCATCAGTTCTGGGAGATATGTGGTACAGCAGCGCATGTGAGAAACAGCTAGCCCTCTTGCAAAGGACACGTTGGCTAAAAAGTCACAGTTTGGGTAGGGTACTGGTGGGAAGAGAGCAGTGTATTTAAAAACAAGCCCTCTCCTTACTGCTGATGTTGTACTTTACTTGCAAGATCCCTGCTGCAAATGGCTAGTAACATTCCCCTTTCCTAAAGGGGAACATCTATTTTGTGATGCCTGAACTTCCTATGGGGCTGCAGGCAGCCTCTCCAGGAGAGAGGAATTTCCTGTGGGTTTGTTTTAACCCAGCTTGTGCCCAAATAAACATTAGTCTCTAAGGTGCCACAAGTACTCCTTTTTTTGTATCAGTTAGTGTCTGAAATATTAAACAGTCCCTCTTCTGAAGTGATCAAGCTCCTTAGCTGGGCAGAATGAGGGGATTAACCCTAAGGAAGCTAATTAAGGGGTAGTTACAAGAGCTGTTTCTACCTATTCACTTATAAATACTTGAATTGCCCACAGCAGCTAGAATGTTTGGAAGAGAATATTGATGCAGCTAAGGAACATGTGTGTATTCTAAACAGTTGCCTGTTGTAACTGCAGTGTGAAAGTCAGTCATATCTTTTATGTATTGAATGTCAGGAGGAAGCTGAAAGATCTCATTTCCTGCACAATGAAGACACAGGCACTGCAAGAGCAGCTGAGGCAAAAACCTTTCCTACAAAACCTGCTGGGGGGAGGGGGGGGGGAAGGCACAGGATAACTATTAAACCCTCTTGATCTCAAATTAATTTAAGAAATCTCTCCCGTGATAGTTCCCTCTATCACTACAGAGGCCATTCTCCCTTATGAGCAGTGTAAGTGGCTGAACATTCTTGGAGGCTTTTCTATTTATCACCAGCTGCTGAGAATCCTGTTTTCCAGGGTAAAGGCAAGAGTGCACTGTCCAGGTCAATGGGCTTAGCAGCATTCCTTGGGGAGGAAAGCCCAGGAGCTGGCTGCCTGCTGGAGATGATGAGCTGGGCTGCTCTTCAAAGTGGAGATGTAAGCAGCTACAGTGAAGGGAGCCATTGATGCAGGAAACCAGGGCAGTTAGCCTGCTGAGCTGCTAGTTAAGGTCACAGGGCGAGTGTCTCACAGAGTCCAAGTCAATAAGACCAACCAAAAAAAACAAACAAACCCATCCCACCAATTTAGGCCACTAGCAGAGGCTAAAATGCCCCTTCCCAGCAGGGATGAATGTGAGGTGAAAGAAGAGATTATGCTGATGGGGCAAAGTCAGGACCTCTGTTTCCCTTCAACCCACTTACACTAAAGGATTATTTCCTCTCTGAGCGAAATGCACAGCAGAGAGTTAAAATGCATAAGGTACCTCCCCTAGCCGTTAAGACACTGTCAAGTATGTTCTACTCACTAGAAGTCTTAGCTACTACTGTCAAAAATGAGGCAGATGCCATTTGAGACACAGGACTGAGAATCAGTGCAGTAAGGTATCATACAGCTGATTTTTGCATACTGTTTAATACAGGAACAATGGAGCCTGTTCAGGAAAGCATTCTCTCCCCCAGCCCACGAGTGTCTGTACTGGGATGCTAGAGCACGTGCTTTTCCCTTGAGAGTTCTGTACCTGCTGTTGCACAGTGGAAAAAAAAAAAAAAAAGAGTTTGCATGTACAAGAGAGACTGGCAGCAATGGATCAAGAAAGCAAAGGGTGCTCTAGGCTGGAAGATCAGACACTGCTCTGAACCCACTGGTGAGGTGATGCGGACCTGCATGCATTATGAAATGCTCAGCATTTGAGCTTTTGCCTTTCAATGCCAGGAACAGGGTCTTTCACAGCTCCACAAATATTGGTTCCACCAGTTACTGCTCACATTGAAAGAACCTGGAGCCACATTTAGATAAATGGTGGTTGGTTGCTGAAAGGAGCTGTCTCTGTGAATCACTGCCTGGCTTGCTCCCCTTTGTTGGTGGGTGGAAAATGCTGAAAAGAAGGATTGATTTTGGCACAGCACCTTTTAAAATGAAATCTGTCTTGAGAGCCTTCCCACTAATCCACCCCCCCATCTTACTGAAATTTTTAAAGCAATATAACACCACTACCCCCTTGTTCCGCTCAGGAACAGAAATGAGACATTCGATGAATAAAACCATCTCTTTCCTCACCTAGAGAAGGATGCAGCTGCTTCTGACATTCTCTTTTTCCCTCCCTCCCTCCGGGTGTGGAAGGGCCTTCCCCTTGCTCAGACCTGGGTAGAGAATACTGTAATTTTTAAAACCAATGTCGTCTTAGCATAACTCTCCAATTGTACAAACAATGCTCTAACCAGCAGCTGGATTTTATATACACAGAGGCGTTTTAGTTCTGAGGGGAATGGGGTATTCACTTGTTAGAGTTAAAAAGGAAACAGAAAAAATAACCAAACAGCACACTGAATGATACTACTGTGTATCTGCTCACAGTACTTTAAATTTAAAAGCCAATACTGAAGTACTCAATGAAATGTGGATTCCTTGGGTTAGTTCCAATTCTAGGAAGTTAAAAACAAAACAATAAAATAACCCTAGGCAATGTTCCTCGAAGTAGTAGGATATCTCATCTATCATCAGATTACTGGTGCCACTGTAAATTAAATTCTCAAGACATCTGTGCCTTTAACAGGGGAAGGTACAGCAGGAGCAGGTATATGTAAAATGCTGGCAGGTTTTGTTGAATCCATAGAGAATCCGTCCTGGACCTAAGCTGTCGTGTCCTGAGAAGCTACATTGCTCCCATTACCACTCTTTTTTCTTCTCATCCATGGAGACACCACCAGGACCCAGCGCCACCACCAGAAGAAGCCCTCCAATGACAGACATGGTCTGGAAGAAGTCGTACTTGAGGAAGTCATGCATGGGCTTGTAGGCCGGGATGGTCCAGAAGGCGTTAAAGTAGATGTTGATGGCAAACAGCCAGATGACCAGAGTCAAGGCAGCCAGCTTGGTCTTAAAGCCAATCGCCACTAAGATAATCAGGGCTGTGCCCACGATGTTCTGGAGAATCTGCAGGAGCAGAGTGGGGAGGAAAGAGGAGAGTCAGGGTTATACACAGCTATGTTATGGTATCCTATAGAGCACAGGCACTGCATACCCAGCTCGCACAGGTATGAATAGCAGTGTAGGCAGCAAGCCACAGCTTAGGGTGGGCAGAGTGTCCTACACACCCCAGGGTATAGACCCTGCACACTCAAGCCATGCCACCCATGTCTGCACTGCTAATTTTAGCAGGGTCATGTTCTGCTGCCTCCCCCTGTCAGAGTCTTTCCTCGCCACAGTGAAAGCATCTGGCAGCTGTAGGAGTCTTTCCCCACCGCCAGAGCCTTTCACTGGGGTGTGTAGCTACACATGTAGTGCCTGTAGGTGCAGACGTAGCCTTAAAGAAATATGCATGGAGGAGGCGTAGTCACTGCAGCGTTGCTCAGGTAAAGGCAATTCAACAGGCTGCTGTAAGAACATAAGAATGGCCCTCCTGGATCAGACCAAAGGTCCATCGAGCCCAGTATCCTGTCTTCCGACAGTAGCCAGATTCCCCAGCGGGAATGGACAGAAGAGGTAGTCAAACGATCCATCCCCCGTTGCCCATCCCCAGCTTCTGGTAAACAGAGGCTAGGGACACCATCCTTACCCATCCTGGCTGTGATACAGATGGGCTAGGGCAGGTTATCACTAGATTATCTGACATCTCTAAGTTCCTTCAGTAACTAAAGGGCCCTTTCCAGCTACCTCTATTCATGTGAATTGTCCCACTCATTACAATGATCCAGTGGCAGGACTTGCGTGACTGATGACTGCAAGGGTCAACCCTCAGCTTGTGTGGGACCCTGAGTGTAGATTTTGGGGTACCATTCCCTGGAATTTAGTTTCAAGTTGGCGCTTCCTAAGCTAAGATCTTGTTTATGAAGAGGTGAGTAGTTTGGATTGAGGTTTCTCTGCTGTCACTCAGACCTGAAGAAATATTTTTTACCCTACTGCTTAAAGAAAAAGACTCAATTATTAATTAGTTAAAAGACTGATACTTTATCCTGCTCTAGCACTTTGTGCTAAGCAGATCACATGCTTTATAGACATTAACTCAGAACACACCCAGGAGGTCAGAACACAACTCTTTGGGTCCTGTCAACTCTAGTTGACAGGACCCAAATCTGGCATTCTTACATAAGGAGACCCAGTGAAATAGATGAGGACTCGAAGGAGAAGAATTGCTGGATTGGGATCCCACCCAGGCTGTAGCAGAGCAGTGAAGCCCAATGCCTTGACTCCCAGTTCTGTGCCAGATACTTACAGAAAAGAAGCTAACATCAAAATGTAGCAGTGTCATGAACATGAGGACCAGCAGCACACGTCCACCCAGCTGCATGTACTGTTTGGGGGAGCTTTCCCGCATGGTGGGGACCCCGGCAAACATGCTTTTCCCCTCTGACCGTGACTCAGCCAAAAGCAGCAGCAAGCCTCCCCCAAGGGCAAGGTTCCTGGGGAGAGAGAGGGGGGGGCATAGAGAAGGAAAAAAAAAAAAAATCTACAGGTCAGTGCAAGAAAAATAAAAGCCACATCATAGAGCTTGTTGGATGTGTCATGAAGATCGTTCTACCTGAATGAGTGAGAATGCCAACAACCTTGGATTGGTTTTCATTATGTCCCACAGCAATCTGCCCTCCAAGATTGCATCATGTTCCCCACTGATTCAGTAGTTCTTATGGCTCTGCAGATACAAGAGGATCGTGCATCCAGCGCTTGCAATGCTTATGACCATAGCGTGGAGCTATGCAGGCCCCAAGCGTCTATCAAAGACTACATGCATTTGTGGGATTTTTTTTTAAAAAGGTGCAAACAACATGGGACATAGATGACATTATGGGATGGAGACTCCTTGCTCCCAATCACTCCGCGCGACTCATTTCTGCCCTGCCATGCATTGCCAAAACTTCCCCAAAAGACAGTGCACTGGATGGTGGTGGGTTGCACACTGGGATATCTATCCATGGTACACTACACATTGACACAAGCACTCCTGGCAAGCATATGCAGTGTTGACGCAAGGAGTCAAGTATGCACCTGCGCAAGCGATCTATTGATTGCAGCAGCTTTGTGCCGACGTAATTTGCGTTGACCAAAGTTTGTCGGGTAGAGATGGCCTTAAATGTGACCTTTATAAAGACCTCTTCATTCCTGTCCCTGAGTGACATGCACAGAAGCAAGTCTGCAAGGACAGTACAGGGAGGTAAAATGAACTAGGACCTACCTCATCAAGAACTTCAGATCCCATAGAATGCTGTAAGCAATGGTCTAGGAGGGGAAAAGAAAAAAAGAAATACTGAAATATTTAAGCTATTTCCACCTCCTTGAAAAGGGAGAGCTTTTAGAGAGTGTTCAAAGCCAGTGTGATTAAATGCAGGATGTAAGAATCAATAACATCTTACAAAAAGTTACTTAGTTTAGCAAGTAGTTTGGCATGACAATAAGGAGCTTTTATGAGAATCTATTTTGGATGCAGAAAGTCAGGCTCACTCATTAGCCCAGGTGCTTTTTATATCACCCGCATATCTGTGACTCTCAGAGCTTTTTGCAGATAGTTAATTAACCCTCAACAATCCCCTGTGGCAGTCAAGTATCCATCCCATTGTACAGATGGGGAAAAATAGAGAGGCAGGAAGGTTAAACTAAATGCCCAAGATCACACAACTAGTCAGTGGCGAATTTGGGAATAGAACCCAGAAGTTATAACTCCTACTCTTCTGCTTTAGACAAAATGTTAACGAAAACCTTTCCTGTCTAAAATAAGTTTGTTTTTTTTGTTGTTTTTTTCAGCATTCAATGGGGATCCTTCCACTTTGGGATATTCTTGTAGCAATCACTGTGGGGTCAAGACCAAATCAGTTATAGGTCTCTTATGCAGTAGGCTGCTGAAGCTCATATGAGTTGCAAAGGGGACCTCCTCCTACTATATGGGACAGGATTGATTCGATACTTGTCAGTGCTTGGAAAAAACAGCCGGCTGATCCGATCTGCATCAGCATCCAAGGAGAATACCTTGCCGCTGTGCATTTCAGAGGAAGAACAGCTGTAACCATGTTGCCATAAGAGATCATGGCCAATTGAAGGAGGGCAGTGGGCTCAATGGGCTGAGCAGGGCAATCCTTCCTGCTTCTTTAACTGAGACAGATCAGTCCCATTGGGGTTGGTGGGGAGGGCCTGAAAGATAGGGACTGTACTTTGGAAGACTTGAGGCTTCCTACCTGTAATGCTATAATTCCAAACAAGCCGAAGCAGGCATACTGCACAAAATTCCTACTCAGCACCAGGATACAGCCGCCTGAGGAAGGGAAATAAACAGCGTTACCACATCTCCAGCTCACACAGGAAACAGTTGGTTTTGGTTTGAATTTCAGCAGGTTAAGGATTTCATGTAGCCAAGTCACAGAGAGCCTCTGCTAGGAGATATCTGGTATCAAAACACTGCTGGTTTGGGGAGGGGGGGGGGGGGAAAGGTCAGCTTTAAAGTCTGCATTCTCCACAGTGAGACATTGTCGTATGGCTCCTGAAGAACATCTCTCCATTATTCCACCAGGTGATGGAGCAAGGGATCAAACATAATCTTTGTTTAGTCCCTGGCACATCGTACTAGTTGGCAGGTGCCATGCAAGGGTACATCCTCTCTGCAATAAAAGACCTGCAGCACAGCCATAGCTGGCCCAGGTCAGCTGACTCCAGCTTGTGGAGCTCAGAGTGGGGGTTATAAAATTTCAACATGGACATTTGGGCTCAGGCTGGGGCCCGCCGTTTCAAACTCTGCAAGGTGGCTGGGTGGGTCTCAGATCCTGGGCTCCAGCCCAAGCCTGAATGTCTATACTGCTACTTTTAGTCTTGCAGCCTGAACCCGAGTCAATTGACCCAGGCTCTATGGTAGTGTAGACATACGCTTTAGGTCACAAGACGTTAGACAAAAAACAGCCAAGTATGTAGATGTTGGATATTGCCTTTCCTGAGGTGGTGGTGGGAGGATGATACCATAGTTCTTTCGAGAATACAGAATATTAAACAAACAAACAGACAGAAGCTTTCCTGTAAATCTTGCATTCAAAAGAAAACTGATCGCATTTCCCAGCAGGCGGATTTCCACGTTGAGAACTTGACTAAAAAAAAAAAAAAAAAAAAAAAAAAATCTACAGGGGAAAAGATTTAGCAAAATTAAATTTTTGCCTGGACAAAATAAAAAAAAAAAACAAAAACCAACCAACCCTGGACACAGGACTTTGAAAGACTAGGCAATTGGAGTGCGTGAGACAATTTTAAAAAGGGGGACACGCAATATAAAACAGGGAGAATTTAGTTCCTTTCCCACCAGTGATACTGTTCACAGTTCACTCAGCATGAACACAGAAGCTAGACTTGAAGTGTCAAGTCTGTTTCCACTTCCTAGTCCTCATGAACTAACACAGTGCTATTGCTTTTGTGAACAGGGCAGGATTGAAATGCTTCCCGTATAAAAACAAGACAAAAAATATTTTTCCAGTTGACATTAACCTCTATAAGAGCCAATACTGGGCTGAGGCAAGAAAAACATGGCACTGTAATCATCTTGATACATTGGAGCAATTCCTCTTTTTTCTTTAAATACAGGAAGTATTTTATTTACAGAATGCACCTATCAACATCTGGGTACACATACAGAATTAAATAGATAATACTACTGTCAACTAAGGGACTCCTCAGAGAGTTTTCATTGACCAAGAGGTACCATGGGGACTCAAAAGTCAAGGAGCAAAACATGGGGAGGCCAATGAAAAGTCTTTATTCAACCTATGAAGCATCATCAAAATATAAAACGCTTGATGGGTAAAGAAAAATAAACTAGGCTTCCCATGCTAACATGAGCCAGAAACACTAGGGCGATTTGGCATTTGGCATCTGCCCTAATAGGCCATTAAGAGCCACTTACTCAGCTGTCCGAAGAGATTTAGGAACACAAAGATGGAGGCCAGGAAATAGCCACAGTTCCACGTGGCATCAATGTAATCCCTCTGCTCGCTCCACTGGAACCACATGCGGATGCCATCCTCCAGGAAGGTGCTGATCAGGCACAGACGGGCCACGTGGGGAAGGTACTGCTTCGTCACTCGCAGGAACTACATGGGCAGACAGTGCAGGAGGAGTAATGTCCAAGGCAACCAAGAGCCATGCCCCTCTGCAGACTGCAGGTATATCACTGGCGTGTGCACATGGACACACCCACCTCCACCACAAGATCCCGCTGAACGCAGATGTGCTGGGGAATTAGATAAAGCCAAACCCTCTCGATATCATGCTGGTTTAAAACACCTATGCCTTTACATTTCCCCTGTTCTCATGGGTGAAATTTCCCCTGACTTCTTCCTCTGCAAATATCAACACATTGTGGCATCAGGCCTAAGACTCTCCTATACAATACTAAAAGAGTTTGACTGTAGATGAAAAACTGGATATCCTGGATAGGATATTAGTTGATTTCAAGGATAAACACATACAGAGACAGAGGTCAGCCCCTTGTCCCATTAAGGATCACAACCCACATAACAAAAACACACTACTCAGGAAGATGAACTAGGCAGTTATATATAACTACAGTTCAATGCAACCTAGTATTTAAAAAAAATAATATCACCAAGAGGCACGAGGAAGTGAGCACACCGCTTCTCTTCTTGGAAAGGAAAGTTGTGTCTGATCCTGTGAACAGAATGCTGAAAATTTACCATTAGATCACTCTGCCATTGTGAGAATTATAGATTATATAGGAGCAACTACTGCTGAGCAGAACCAAAACATACACCCCAAGGAGTCTAGCTTCTTTTACAAATTATACACATGCAAGATATTTGCATATTAAAAAAAATATATATCTGATCACCTCTTCACTCTCCAGTTCTCAGCTAGTATATCGTTTGAGTCTTCATTCGTATTTAAATAACTGTAACAGAGCACCAAGGCATATCCTGAGGGGGATTAATAACTGGTTGTAGATTTAATGCTCTGACACAAATCTCAGGCTAAAGGGCCACAATTTTGGTGTGCAAAGGGAGCCACGTGCGGGCACCTAGAACACATATGACTTAATCAGCAATTGTGTTTGTGCAGGCAGTTGCCATGATTATATGTACGTTTTGAGCAAGCTGGCATACACGTGGGTGTTGGATTCTTGCACTCCATTATTGAAAATTTAGAACCATTGCATTGATCCCAGGTTAATATTAAAAAGTGTCCGGTGTTATTCCTCCGACCCAACCAACCATCCCTTTGGTACAGAAAGGTATTAATAAAAGTTGTTTATTTCTTAACAAACCTGCAAATAGCACATTCCACTTTTTGTATAGAAAGCAGTGATGTAATAGTACCAGCAGACATTTGGTAATAGAAAACGCCTACTGGCTGAAAGTGAGGTGACTGTTTATTTAAGAAACATATTTAGGGCATCAACACCAGGTGCAGAACAGCCAAGTTACATCCCTGACAAAGTGAAGTAATGGTAATTCAAGTGACATCTGTCAGGGGTTGTATGTGAGATAGATATGGTCAATTCTAAATTAAACAGCAGAAGAAGAGAAGCAGAAGGTGCCTATCTCCCGATTTTATTGGCAGTTCCTGCTGAGCAATGTCACAGCCAGATGCATGCAAAAGCCTGACTCCTGATGCAGAAATGCCAGGTTTTGCAGAGACTCCTGGTTTAGCAGTAGGGGAACCATGTGTTATAACCTCCTACAACTCATACACAGTATGTATTAAAAACAATTTATGGGACTTTGATTCAAGTCGTTTTACTCAGTGTTAGAATCTAAACTATGTTCGGGGGGGGACCCCACAATACCAACCAACCCACCCACCTGAAGAGGTGTTCTTCAAAAGGTATCAGGAACGCCACAAAGAGGAAATTCACAATGAAAAAACAGTGTATATGTCTTGTGTTGGTCCCCTTGCACCAGTGTTTCTTGTACCATTAGGGAACAGGAACTTAAAAAAGGTAGAGTCACACCCAGCACTGACCATGTTCTGTTGATGCAACTCGGTTAATGTCAATGGAGGTACACCAATTTATACTAGCAGAGAATTTAGCTAATCGAGTCAGCAAACTAACTAGTAAAAATGTATGTTGACCAAAAAAAATTAAGTTAGCTTCTCATTGTTTATGACGTTCACTTCTTGCATTTTACTCAGTTTGGACAATGAAACTAGACTAATCAGTTTCACTTTCTGCTTTTAGTTAGTATGATTTTGCAGCTCTGGCAACATTTGGCTTCACAACAGCTGGGCGGCAGGAGATTAAAGGCACTTCTAAAAGCTTATTCCCACCACCATAATTAACCAATTAATAAAGGACGTTCCAAGTTCTGTGCAAGTTAGAAATCTTCCTTGCTGCCTAATTCAAGGTCAGCATGAATAAAAACAGAGCAGAAATGTTAACACAACAGACATGCCCAAATAGTTAATATCAGAAGAGCAAACTACACTAGTCTTGCTCATGTGCATCTAGAGTCTAAAGGGTCAAGATTCAAGTCAGTTAAACATACTTTGAACACAAACCTCAACCACGTACAGATTGAAAGTTATACTTTGGGATTTTTGAATATAAATGTTTTTCAAACAGCTAGATGAGTGAATCTGGAGAGATACATTTCTTATGATCTTTGTCATTTAGTGAGATACAAACCGAACAATTAAATACACATTAATACAAGGGAGATGTGACCTAAAATTAACCAATGTGAAGTTAAAAAAAAATTGCAAATGAGCTCTTTTCTTCGTCCAGAATAGCAGATTAAGAGAGCTTCAAACTGTATTTGAGTTACCTAAGAAACTCCTACATGCACCCCAAGTGGAGAAACAAAACAAACAGATCATTATTGTACATAACAAAGTTATACCTTTCATCCAAAAGTTCAAGCCCAAAATTTGGCATGCTTTAAATGTTATCCTCTGCCAGTAAGTGTATTGTTTATATATTTTTTTAAATTATAACTGTTGTAATTTTGTTCCCATTTTTTAAAATGGGGCCCCAGACTCAGCCTCTACAAGTTAATAAACCTTATTCTCACAATTAGGCAATCATGTTGACTTTGCTAACAAAAACAAGCAAACAAACCATGGAAGAGGATAAGATTACAGGGAAAGAAGAATTACAGATCAAGCTTCTATGGCCCTTGTGATAATACCGAGACTGATTTAGAAGGGTCCTTTTCTGTAGCAGAGACAGAAACTATCACAAACAACAGATACTCCTGGGGGAATTCTGCACCAAAAAATTAAAGGTTCTGTGAATATTTTAAAATTCTGCATCCAGCTGCGGCTCCCACTGTCAGCCCTGCGCATGGCGAGGCTCTGGCTGCCATGCACGGGAGATCACAGGTTCATCAGGAAAAATTAAAATTCTATGGGGAACGTTAATTCTGTGCAAATTCTGCATTGTACAGTGGCACAGAATTCCAGCAGGATTTCCACAGAGAGACATGGGGAAAAAAGAACTAAATGCTCCAAAAGTACTGGATAGAAAGTATAGAATGCCTACAGAAAAGAACTAGAGGGTTTCTATAGCAAGTCTTACTCCTCAGTTTGGAAATAATCTGAGGTGTTGCTTGTGCAACATGCTAGACATCTGATGAATTTTAAAGGAGGAAACAGCACTTTCCAACATCAGTCTAACGACGGAGAAGCTTTCAAAGCACCCAGCAACACCCTAATCAGCCACGTTGGACAGGAAAGCATAATAGCTCAACACCTGGGCATCAGGAGGGTTGAAAGCACCTGTTTTAGCATCAGTGCACTGCACTGGAAATCCCCATGCAAAAAGAATACACAACCAGCAAGTCACAAATAGGGGGCAGCCTTGTCTTCTTCCTAGAACAAGAGGAACGGGATCTACATTTGGCTCGTACCATCAAGTAGGTAGAGAGCATACAGAGCATGCAGCAAGTGTGTAAGAGACCTGCTAAAAACAGTGGCTGATTTGGAAGAAAAGGCCCAAATGCACAAGGCAAGAGAGGCAGGCTGTGATCCACCTTCCAAGGATCAAGTTTTGATTAGAGATCCTTAACTCAGGTCTGGTCTACACTACAAACCTATATCGGCACAACTGTGTCGCTCAGGGGTGTGAAAAATGTTTGCATTCAAAGTGCCATATCCACCCTGGGCCTAGAATTAGAGTAGTTCTGTGTTTATACTGATCCACAGCTTGCTAAAAAAGATTTCTAGTGAGCAAATGGCACCTGCCCTGCTTGCAGCTCTGAGTCCTGTTAGAATATACCACACTGCGATGTTAAGACAAGCTCTCCCAGGTGACAGACTAACTACATTTAAGACAGAAATGAAGACTCTTCATCCCAAGCGTTTGAACAGATTGTGCCAATGCCAAGTGAATTCCTGGAGGGGGTCAGAAACAGACTCTCAAACAGCTGTCTCTTTCCTCGCCACCCAAAGCGTATGCAAACCCAACCTGCCAGAGAAAGCCAAATCAGCTGGCTCTTCCTAGGGTTCAGAGGAAGGGAGAGTGTGTGCACACTGACTTAAAGACCTCAGTCCAGCTCCCCCACATGGGAGCATGTAATTCTGGGTTACTGACCTGGCCTCTCTCAGAGCAGGGAGGCCTCTCCCTGGGCATTCTGTACACTTCGGCCTTTACAAGGGAGAAAGGATTCTCCACCTTGACAGCAGCTTTCCCCTGTTCTTCAGCTACATCAGAAGCTGGAGAGAACATAAGAATGGCCATACTGGGTCAGCCTAAAAGTCAATCTGGCCCAGCATCTGGTCTTCCAACAATGGCCAATGCCAGGTGCCCCAGAGGGAATGAACAGAACAGGTCATCATCAAGTGATCCATCCCCTGTCGCTCATTCCCAGCTTCTGGCAAACAGAGGCTAGGGACACCATCCCTGCCCATCCTCGCTAATTGCCATTGATGGACCTCCATGAATTTATCTAGTTCTTTTTTGAACCCTGTTATAGTATTGGCCTTCACAACATCCTCTGGCAAAGAGTTCCCCAGGTTGACTGTGTGTTGTGGGAAGAGCTTTAGAGATGTTTAACTAAGGGTATGTCTACACTCCTGTGCCATTGCAGCATCCTAGTATAGACTCTTCCTACATTGACAGAAGGGGGTTTCTGCC